CCTGTCCCAGCCCGCACGCGCAGCCGGGTGTGAGAAGGCATCCGCAGCCAAACTGCCAGGGGCTCTGCCTCTGGGCAGCCCCCCCAGCCTTGAGCCTCCCTCCCCACTTCCAGGTTGAAATGCCCCCTTCCCACCTGTGAGAGTCACTGAGGGAAGCACTTTATTTTGTTTAAAAACAGTTTATTTTCTCTGAACAAAAGAGTTTTGTATTTTAGTTTTTCAAAAAAGCAACAGTGCAATAAACTGTCCACACTTTTTCATCAACACCGGTCTCTGTTCTCAGTGTGTGAGGAATGAGTAGAATGGGTGAACGTGGGGCCAGAAGGAGCTATGGGGAGGAAGGCAACAGGGGCATGAGGCAATCCCACATTTGGAAGGCCCTGGGGAAAATCATTGGCCTCCATGGGAGAACTGCTCCCTCAGGGCTTCCCGAATGTGAAAGCCCAGCTGGTGGGCTTGCCGGATAGCAGCTGTCTGCGGCTGCTTAACGTGTCTCCCCTCCACATCAGCCCGTGTCCCCCATGCAGGGAGGAAGGCCTCCCCTTTCCTCTCCACCAGGTTATGCAGCACACAGCATGCTGTAGCCACATCAGGAATGTTGTGTTCCCCCATGTCCAGCCGAGTGAGCAGGCATCTAAATCTGCCCTTTAGCCGGCCAAAGGCGCACTCCACCTGGAAGCGAGCCCGATTCAGGCAGGAGTTAAACAGTTCCCTGCTTGCATCCATGTGGCCGGTGTAGGGCTTCATGGGCCAGGGCATAAGGGGGTAGGCCACAACAGTCATGATGCACGTAGGAATCTGCACATTACCGACTGCATAGTTCCTCTCAGGGAAAAATGCCCCAGCCTGAAGCCTGCGGTACAAGTATGAGTTCCGGAATACACGGGCATTGTGAGCCCAGCCTGACCACCTGACACAAATATCTGTGAACTGTCCCCGGTGGTTGACCAGGGCCTGCAGCACCATGGAAAAGTAGCGCGGGTGGTGCGTGGATGGGGATGTGAGTGCTCCACCGCAGTTCGGAAAACCCAGACCTGCAAATCCGGCCAAGATGGTAGGCAGGTCTCCGAAGCGGACAGTCCTGTGGAGCAGCTCAGAATTGATGGCTGTCACCACCTGCAGAAAGGGACACATACAAACACACATAAGAGGACATGAGAGGAGCAGTGAGAGGTACACCCCTAACCCTCCCCTCCCAGAACCTGAGAGCCCCCCTCAGGCAACCTGCAGCAACCACATCGGGGATGTTGTGTTCCTCCACGTCCTGCCGAGTGAGCAGGCATCTAAATCTGCTCTTCAGACGGCCAAAGGCCCGCTCCACCTGGAAGCGAGCCTGATTCAGGCGGGAGTTAAAGAGTTCTGTGCTCGCATCCAGGTGTTCTGTGAATGGCTTCATGAGCCAGGGCATAAGGGGGTAGGCCGCGTCGGCCACAATGCACATAGGCATCTGCACATCCCCAACTGCATAGTTTCTCTCCAGAAAAAATGCCCCAGCTTGCAGCCTGTGGTACAGGTATGAGTTCCGGAATATGCGGGCATCATGTGCCCAGCCTGACCATCCAACACAAATGTCTGTGAATTGTCCCTGATGGTCAACCAGGGCCTGCAGCACCATAGGGTGAGGCCAGGCAGGCTTCTACCCCTCCCACCCCATCCCCCATTCCTTGTGCCTGGTCCTGACCGTCCCCCTTATCCGCCAACCCCCGACCCCATGGACTGTCCCCCAAGCATGACTTACCTCCATCAAGACTGCCCCAACGGTAGACCTCCCCATGCCAAACTGATGTCCCACAGAGCGGTAGCAGTCGGGGGTGGCCAGCTTCCACAGAGCAATAGCGACGCACTTCTCCAGGGGGATGGCGGCCCGCAAGCGGGTCTCCTGGCATTGCAAGGCAGGGGCGAGCCAGGCAAAGAGCTCCTGGAAGGTGGCCTTCCGCATCCAGAAGTTTCAGACCCACTGGTCATTGTCCCACTGCTGCATAACTAGCCGGTCCCACCAGTCGGAACTGGTGTCCAGCTTCCAAACTCACCTCTCCATGAATAAGTTGGGGGGAAAGGGCAGTGGGGCTGCAGCCTGAGCGAGGGGCTCAAGGCTGGGCTCTGAATCCAGCTCTGCTGCAAACATCGTGATGCTCTCATGAACATGCAGCAGAACTTCCAGCAGCACGGTGTGGGCAGGGGCAGCTCAGGCTCCACGGCCAAAAAAACAAAAAAACAAACACAAAAGCCAAAAACAAAATCTGAAAATAAATTGCTGTGGTGTCCAAGGAAGCAGCAACCAGAGCAAAAACTGCAGCAACTCTAGGAGGTAGGTAAGCAAGAAGTAGGAGCAGAGCAACGGCTGTCCAGGAGGATCCCTTTAAGCACGCATCTCTGCAGAGAGCATGCAGTGGGGCCTGGGCTTTAAGGCTGCCCCTGTGACCTTCCAGAAGCACTTCCAGGTGCCTTCTTTTGTCGATAGAGCATCCGGCAGTCTGGACGCTCTTTCTCCGACAGAAGCTTTGTCAACAGTATCTGTAAACAAAGCTTCTGTCAACAAAAGCCTGTAGTCTAGACATACCCTTAGTGATTGCTGCTTGAGTAATCATTTATTTGTGTTCTTTTTTTCCCCTCTGCCTCCCTCAGACTTTGCAAGCTTCAACTGCAGCAGCATCAAGACAGAATATAACAAAACTGCTGTAATTTCATGCAACAGCAGCAAGAAGATTACAAATGTGGCAGTTACGCACTGTGAAAGTTGTGCTAAAGAGAACTCGTCCTTCAAAACAGTTATTAATACATGGGAAAAAATTTTTTTGAGTGAAGATGGAAGAATTCAGTTGAAGCTACACACTTATAGTGCAGAAGTGCACATACAGAAAGTAAAAGCCACTGATCAAGGAGGTTATAAATGGAATCTTTATTCTGACGCTGGGGAATATCATAGATGTACAGCCCTGGAGATTACAGGTAAATTCAAAGCATAGAAACAATCATGGACACTACATTAAACTACTCCAGATTTCAGTTACTTTTTTGACCATTTTAATAAATAAGTTCAGTTAGACCCTGAATTAGTTTCCAACGGGCAATTCCCAGCACTAGAGGTTTTTGTGAGGAAATTCCCAGCACTAGAGGTTTTGGGTGCTATAGGAAGCCAGGCTGCTGGAAATG